CAGAACGTGATGTACAATTTGTTTGACTGGCCAACCCAAAAGCACTCCAAGCTGATCATCCTGGCCATTGCCAACACCATGGACCTGCCAGAGAGAATCATGATGAACAGAGTAGCAAGCAGGCTGGTATGTTCTAGCAGTTCTCTTGCTGTGCCATCAAAGGAGAACAGATTAAATACTGCATGCAATCAAAAGCAATCCAGGAGAAAAGTAGGACTGGTTATATCAGAAACTGAACAATGGTTTGTATCATTCCCTCTCCTGAGGACTGATAATGAACATATAAATCTAAGTTCAGGAGCCTGTTTGCTAATCAGGTATTATGCTGATACATAATGTTCTTGTAAGAATGAAATAAATATGTGGATGCCTAAGATCTGGATAATCAAATGCTGTGCTTAATGGTTAAGCTGCTTACTCTGGAGTTCAGGAGAATTCTCTTCTGGTTTCCCTTCCTCTTTCCCCTTTCATTCCAGGCATCTACTTCTCTGTTTGCCATCATCAGTTGGTGGATTATATAAAAGTATCCAACAAAGAAAATTGGATGCACTCTCCACTTGTTTTGAATGTTTTCCTAGGTCATCTCACCACGGTTCTGAAAAGTGATTTGCAAAAACAGTGCTCTGTGCCTCTATCCTTCCATGACTCAAAAGCAGCTCCCCAGGGTGTGAATTGCTTTCCCCCACCCACTAAACCCACTGCAGATCAGCTGAGTCCATACAGTCACAAGAGAAGTTTTGCATAAGAAATTCAAAACTCAGGTCTCCTGTAGGATGAAAGGCAGAGCACCATCTGTAACATGGATTGTCCTCATCTGAGGGCTGCTCTTATTGGCTTGAGCCAGAAGAGGGTTTTAATTCTTGGCTGATGGCTAACTTGAAGTCAACACACACATATTCAGATTAGCTAAAGAAGACATTATTATTTTTCCACAGCTGCTGCTGTTATGGTATTAAGAAATAACACGTAGACAGATGTAATCCAGATATTTTTGTATAGGTGAGCTCTCATTTGTTTAAAAGTTTTTGTAAGAGAAATCTGAATTCTGATAGCAGCTTCACTTGCTCCTCAGGCCTTTCAGTGGGGAGATCCAACCAGTGGTCCTCACTGAGCCACAGTTTTGTGGATTTGTACATTTGTTTCACAAATGTGATTGATTAAAGTGTGTCACTGGGAAGGAAAGGATGTGAAAAACTAATTGCCCTACCAGAAAAAGTGAAAGTAACCACACAGGCCATGCTTCAGCAGTTGAGTTCTCACTGTGTTGTCATTTATTGCAGGGCCTCACCAGAATGTCCTTTCAGCCCTACACCTACAAACAGTTACAGCAAATTGTTTCATCCAGACTGAAGGGAGTGAAGGCATTTGAAGAGGATGCAGTTCAGCTGGTTTCCAGAAAGGTGAGCCCAGAGCAGATCAATGTCCTTCATGCTGCACTGGCTGCAAGGTGTGGGGGCAGCAGGAAGACTTTTGTCACAGCTGTTGGGCCTGGTTCTGTGCTTGTGTCCTGTGTTGGGGCACAGTTAGGCCATGCATTATCCAGGGTATTTTCTCAAAAGGCATTTCTAGAGCAGTGTCCTTGCTTTTTCCACCTACTCTGAGAAGGCAGCAGATATTCCAGGAGCTGAAGGCATGACAAGAGTCGTGATGATAAGATGTCAACTGTCTGCACTGTTTAGCATAATGTGAGTCACTGGAGAATCCTGAAAAAGATAACATGCCAGTGGCAGTGGAAATAGCCTTATAAATTTTATTTCTCAAGTTATTCAGTGCTCTGTCATAATAAATAATACTTGTTCTTGTTTGCAAGTCTTAATACTCAGTTGTACAAAATGTAAGTAATGCATTGGGGATCAGTGGCTTCTCAAACTGAGATATGTGCACTGCTAATGTCTTAAATTAGCAGCTCTATATTAAAGTAATCTATTAAAATTATGTCAAAACAACCTGCATCATTATAGCATTAAAAAAGAGTGCTCATAAATATGTCAGAAGTAGATACAAGCCTGTGTTTTGTTGTGAAGGAACCACCTCTCTGTAAGAATAATAGTGAGGTTTTGCAGAGGAATAATTGCAGTGTTTTTCTACTATGAGTTTTCTTCAGAAATATAGAAATGTACCTTGCAATTAGATTTTCTACAGGGTTTCTCATTTTTGGCCCCAGCTGGGTTCTAGGGCTTTTGTACATTATCAGCATCTGCTGGGAAAACTAGGCCAGTACTATATGTTGTGTTGAATGTTCATAGCTTTATTAAAACTGTAAAGCACAGTTGGGGTTTTAACAAGTATTTAGCTATAGAAATTTCAGACACCTAAAAATTTTCAGGCACTTGTAACAGTAAATTGACTATCCTGGATATTTCTTTGAGACCTAAAATTTTTAGTGTACTCTTAAAATCAGTATTTTAATGAGTGTAGAAAAACTGAGTTTTTTGGTGTCATAGCCAACCCCCTTTTTCTTTCCTTTTTCATGAGCCTGGATTATAAGGGTCATCACTGATAATTAAACTGATACTTTGAAACCTTTAATTTTTTTTAACCTCTGACTTCTATGTTACAAAAAAAAGTTCTGCCTTGAATTTATGACAACCAGATCGGGGTGGGGGTGTGGGAGATGTGGAGAGTTTCTGTTGGTTTTGGTCAGTAAGCTTTGTTTTTCAGCATCTGGGAGTGTAGGGATGCACTGCTCTCCCACTGGGTGCTCAGGGTGTTGGGGTTGGTTTGTCTGCTGATTGTTGCTGAACTCTGTCCCCAGCTGTCAGGAAATGTTGTCCCACATGTGTGACATTGCCTTGCAGGTGGCAGCGCTGTCGGGGGACGCGCGGCGGTGCCTGGATATCTGCAGAAGGGCCACGGAGATCTGCGAGCTGGCCCGGCAGAAGAGAGCGCCAGAGATTGTCAGGATGGCCCACGTCACTGAAGCCATAGATGAAATGTTCTCCTCACCATATGTCAATGCAATCAGGTAAAAATATTTCCTTTGCTTTTGTGTCCCTTTCACTGCACTGGTTTTTCACAAACAAAAATGACGATGCCAGAGTTGCAGGCTGTGATACAATGGCCGCTTGTGGCATAAACTGCCCAGCCTGTGTTTAAATATGTAGCTCCAAGGATTTCCCTTCCAGACTTCCTCCTGATGTTTCATGGGTTCTGAGCTTCACAGATGGATTTTTATCTGTTTTGTTTTTTGACTCAGGAATGCTTCATTGCATGAACAAATCTTCTTGAAAGCAGTTTTGGCAGAGTTTCGCAGGGCAGGAGTTGAGGAGGCGACAGTTCAACAGGTATGGGGCACTTTTGTTACTGTGACACCAGTGATCTGGATCACTGGGTGGTTTTATGGTTTTTAGCCTGCATGTTAAAACATCTCATACTTGTACCTAACATGCTTTATAACAGGAAGAATCAAAGAGAAGCTGAAATTACTAGGCAACAGTCCAAGGAGGAAAACTGAAAGCCGATTCCGAGTTGCACATCACTATTTTTCCTTCATAGAGGCAGATATGTCACTGGTAGCTTTGTTTTTTTTAGTAGACCCATAAAATACTGGGTGCCAGCAGAGCTGTGAAGACTCTGGAGTAGTCATGAGTAGTGTGGAAGCTAAATGTTAATACTTATACAAAGATGTAGTTCTAAACATTTTTATAGAGAATTCCAGCATCTAAACAGGCTGGAGCTGTTTTATCTCCATCCATGGATGTGGGGGGAAGGCAGCTTCTCACTGTGTCACCTTGTCACTCAGCTGCAGCAGGCAGTAAACATAACCTGTGTCCTTTTTCTTTTTCTCAACAGATCTACCACCACTACGTGGCTTTGTGCAGGGTGGAAGGCCTGCAGAGCCCCACGGTGTCAGAAATCATGGCAATTTGTTCAAGGCTTGGTGCCTGCAGGCTCTTGCTGGTGGAGGCCAGCACTAAATATCTGCACATGCGGGTGCGACTGAACCTCAGCCAGGATGATGTCATGTATGCACTCAGGGAGGAATAAAGCAAAAGAGATTTTATTGCTTTTAATATGTATAAATATTTTAAATACCCTCTATTTTTATTTGTTTTTTAATTATTGATAAAATGGAAATAATGAAAAGTATTTTTTTAAAAGGCTTTGCTTATTTGTTTGATGTATGAAAGCACTCTTTTAATAATAAAGAATTAATTTCAAAGCATTTTAAGTATTTCAAATTATTTCTTTGTAGAAGTATTTGTAATTGCTGGTAGCTTTTAACTGAGGTCTATGAACTTGGAATGGGTTATTTGAAGAAGATTACTTGCATCACTTTTTTTTAAGGCTCATGGTGTCTTTGGCATTCTGTAGATTTTCCTCAGTGACTTACATCCAATGAAAGGCATTGCTAAAACGGGCTTAAACTTTTCCTTACTAACATAATTAAAAGGAACTTCCAGGTTGCAATCCAACATAATTAAACGGAACTCCCACTTTGCAAGGCAGGCTCGCTGTTGGAATGGAGGAAGCTGTAACAATACCTCGAACACGAATGGTGCCATTTGAATACCCCACTCCTTTGTCTGACCGATCCCCATCCAGGGCTGCCGGTGCCGGGGCTGTGTGCGGGCACA